ATGAGAAATGAAAGTTAGATCGAAACAATTACTTAAATCAAGAACAAATAGTAATAATTTATTATGCAATTTTATAATTTTTTGTTTATTTGATAAGATTGAATAAATAGTTAGAGACTATTTTAATAGTTTTAGAACTTATAAAAAAATTTTATGTTTATGAGAAAATATACAATACCAAAATTTTATATCGCATGTCCAAACAAAACTTCAATTTTATCTCATGATTCCATATCATAATACCATATCAAGATTATCATATCGCTTGGCCAAAACGGGACCTAAACAACTCCATTAGTTATTGAACGTGTAATTCGGATATTGTCAAAAGAGCTAAAAAGTGACAAGGTAAATCATAAATGTTTAGCTTTTGAAAACAAAAAGTTAAGCACAACCTTTAGAAGAAAGAGAAAAAAAGATCCTTTTTGTATTGTAGTTATAAATACAGCAAAGAGGAAACCAAACTTCCACACACACATACACCATAGATATCAAACACAAAAAATCTTTTTCTTTTCCAAATCCTAACAGCCCCAAAATTTCCAATTTTTTCTTCCTCATATAAACCAAATCACCAAGAACAGATTCTTCAACTTTAAACACACCCTCAAATTTTCTTGGATCAGTGTATTGTAAATCTCAACAAAAGGGACAATTTTTTTAGTACCCTTTTTTCCTTTTTGTGTTTTCTCTTTTCTCCTACATCACTTGTCAAGAAACTAAAAGCAGAATTCAAGAAAACATGTCTTACACATATGATGAGGCTGCTCAAATTAGATCTTCTTTATCTCAAATCCTATTAACAAGTAGTACCAACACTTTAGACTCAATATTTTCTCATTGCCAAGAACCAAAAGATCAAATGACTACAACTAGTCCTGTTCTTGAACCACTATGTTCTTCAGTCTATCTCAGACAAATAGATTTGCTCCAAAAAATTTGGGAACAAAATAGGAAAAATATCACAATTCCAACAAGTTCCACACAAACCCAACTTCAAGAATCTTTATATTCTCAAGAATTTTGGGAACAAAATAGAGCAAATGTGACAATTCCAACAACTTCCACGCAAACCCCACTTCAAGAATCATTATATTCACAAAGATATGTTAGTCCAAACAAGAAAAAGTTGTATAGAGGAGTGAGACAGAGGCATTGGGGAAAATGGGTGGCTGAAATAAGACTTCCTCAGAAGAGAATGAGAGTTTGGCTTGGAACTTATGATAATGCTGAGGCTGCAGCTTATGCTTATGACAGAGCAGCCTGTAAACTTCGCGGGGAATATGCACGATTGAACTTTCCAAATCTACGCGATCCAAGTGAGTTGGGATTCGGAGATAGTGCAAAGATGAATGCTTTGAAGAATTCTGTGGATGCTAAGATTCAAGCTATTTGCCAGAAGGTTAAAAGGGGAAGAGCTAAAAAGGGAATTGTTGAAAGTGAGAAAAAGGTTGCAAAAGATGTGAATTTGGATTCATCATCTTCTTCTTCTTCATTGGTTGGTAGTGAAAGTTGGAGTCATAGTGATATGATTTCACAAAGTAGCTCTGATGACGGATTCTTGAATAGTGAGACTTGCTCTGTTATCGGTGACTGCCTGATGGGGCCAGAGTACGATAACTGCTATAGCACTAGCATCACACCTCAATTCGAAAGGCCTGTGCTGGAATCAGAGTTCGAAGATTATTCCTTAGCAACAATGCCTTCTTTTGATCCTGAGTTGATATGGGCAGTTCTGGCTAGCTAGAAGTAATTCCGACTTTGTAAGTTGGATTCATAATTTTAAGTTTATGAATTCCAATTACAATCCCTTTTTGTTGAGCAAAAAACTATTGGATCATACCAACCCCATAACTTCAGCTGTAGATACCTCCACATGACTTGAATTTTTGAGTTCTTTGAAGTTACTTGTAAAATCCCATCTTGAGATGTGCTAGAGACCATTTTTATATGACTTCTTTTTGTTAAATTAATCAAGTATCAGTCTCATGTTTTTAAATTTTCTCTATGGGATGAACAGAGATATTATAACCTGTTCATTTCCAGTTTTCTGTATCAAATTCTGAAGGGTTTTATCTTAATTCTAGTACTGATAAAGTTTAGCATCTTTTGAACCATATTGTAGAATGATCTTTCATAAGAAAGTTCATACCCCTTTTCATCATATCATCAATCTATCAATGATATTTCCCATCTCAAATTATAGCTGAGGTAAGTTAAACACATCATTTGTATATATGTTATTCTATTTGGTAAAATGTATTGATAGATACATGACATGTGTTCAAAGATATACTACTATCACTTAACCATCAACGTAACATGGGGTGTGAATATAGGTGTGGGAACTATGCCGAATTTAGCCAAATTATTGGATACTTCGATTACATCTACGATCGAAAAGTATAATTAGGTATATGGTTTGATTTCTAGATTTGTGTGTACTAGTGTGTGTGTGTATAAGCACACATAAAAGTATAAGAATGTGTTGCTATAACACCTTACTAATAAAATAGTAAGGGTTAACAAATAATTAAATTTTAGTAGTTCTAGTTCAATGACTTAAATTAATCAAAATATTTATCTTACATTAGCTAATGTCCGGTGGTATTTCTCCAGTGAAGAAATCCAAAGAAAAGAAAAAAAGCCCTATTTGTATTTCTCTAACAATAGTCCAGAATACATAAATAAAGAAAGAAAAATGGTCCCAATTCCTGTTGTGGAACAATATGACCCACTTAAGTGCAGAGTAGATGACGGGAATGCCTCAGTATAGCAACATTAAGACCTTTTTGGGTCATCCTTATTTCTAAGACTAGTCATTGTATGATAATGTTACTCCGAATATGCCAATTATATGTCAAGCTTCATCTACACTACATGCACAAACGTAGTCAAACTCAAATAGCTCTCCTTGGTACAAGAGCATCAGACAAACTTTAAAACGTTATCAAATATCACATCAGAGAATGAGAGAAGTAACAGGTTTTGATACTACAAGAGAACAAGAAGTTAACATGACAGACATGCTTCTGGGCCAATGTGTCATAGCCCAAAGACGAATACTAAAGCCTATGGGCTTGGTTTGCAACAAATAATATGTGTTGTGGAGAAATAGATATATAGAGAATTGAGGTAGAGTAACAGTGAGTGTGGTCAAAGTACTTCAATTGTCCTTACCTTCTTGGCAATTCTAGTTTCATGGCAGAATAAGGAGATTTAGTTTTTATTTTATTTCTTCTCAAAAATGAATGCCCGGTTCAAGTACAAGATCAGGATAATCAGACATCCAACCCGTAATCGTAATGACTCAATTGAAAGAGCAAGAGCTCTACCAACTGAGCTCAGGGAAGCATGCATGAAGTAGTCAAATGCTTCATTTCTTATTCAAATTTAGAGCTACTCTAGACTACTCTAGGGGGTGGAATGTTTTTATACGATACAAACAATTTAATAACTATCTTTGTAGATAAATGTGCTCTGCCTTTATCCTTGTTGAATGTCTTCTTGATGTTGTACAAACAAGACATGGCAAAACTACAGGGAAAGTTTTGTATATTACTTGGATGTTATAGTCACAAAATCTCCTCTACTTTGACTAACAACTTGGTGAAATAAAAAGGAATAGAATACGCAGTAGAAGATACACTTAGAGATACTCATGAAACACCATTTTCAGTATTTCTCAAACGTCTTCTCGAACAAGAAGAATTTTTCAGTTTTTGACACAAAAATAGTTTACTCTGAAAGACAACTTTCAAGACTGATAAAAAGGGGAGTTTAATGGATTGGACATTTAGCATCTAACCTTTTATGGGCTGATCTCTTGGACCTTGTGTTGGAGTTCCAAAATGGGCCAGTACAATCATATGGGCTATTTGCTAAATGTAATATGCGGGTTCACATGAATCCAGTAAAATTCCATAAAACATCTATAAATATTTGACTGTGAGCAGAAGCGGATCCAAGAATTAAGCTATATAAATAGTCTTCAAGGTCCTTAAAATTGAACCCAGTATATTTTAAAAGTAATCAATTCTTTATTGCTGTATCAATGAATTTTTGCGTATGAATTTATGTTTGGAAGTACTGGGATGAACTGGTAACTTAAAATCTTAGTATTAATATAATATTAAGGCTTGGTGTGGTGAAAAGGTGCAGCCTAGGTTTTAAACAAGTTCTCTGTGCGGCTCCTTTCTTTGGGACTTGTCACTCCAATGTCAATATTTAACACACCCCAGGACAGAGGCAGACCTACCCCTAGGGGAGGAGTGTCACGTGTCCCCGATAACGTCAAACATGATATACGCATATATATGTAGTTTGGATTGGCACTCTCATTCACAAAGGTCGGGCAGTTCCATTGGTTCGACCACTATTTATAGGAATCCTCTTTGTCCATTACAATTCATGATTCAATGAATTCATATTAAGGTAGTCATCAACTACAACTATTTCTTTTACTTTATTCATGTAGTTCAATCAAGATTTTTAAGAACGAGACCTATCAAGGCACAGAAAGCAGGCAAAAGATATCCATTACAAGGATATCTCAATCTCCTCTTCTTCCCTACTTCATGCCAATCCTCTTTCCTTCCCAAAGAGCCAATCAGGACATGGCACTCAGTACATCAACAGGTTCATCGCTTTCCTCTAGAAAATTATATTCAACAGCACCCATTATTTAACTAAGACCAGATTATGTAGCACGGAAGAGAGCAGGAAAGAGACAACGGTGATCATTCTTTGGAACCCAACCATAACGATTACCATTGGTACCCAAAGCTTAGGAATTTTATTCTAGCATAATTATATGTAATTATGTGACTTTACAGCTTACTGGTTCGAGCCGTGCAACATCACACCCCTTGGGTGTGTGGCCCTTCCCTAGACCCTGCTAGCACGGGATGTTTTATTCACAGGACAATTTTTACTAAACAAAAAGATTCTGTAAAAGCCAAGATTTACAAATGTCTAGTACAATCATATGGCAACATATTACAAAACGTATATGATATAGTATAGAGTAATAAGTTACAAGTACTATATTTTCTATTACATCTCACATGGATGCAAGTTATTTACAACAACATCAAAACACATAGATACTTCTATAGTTCTTTTACACAACAACACAAAAGGCAAATATGCAGCATATCAAAGCAAAGATGCTTCAATCGAAGTAGTGATGCAAGAACTTACGAATACCTCTCATGAATCCACCTTTCTTCTTTTCCCTCTTATGCCACTTATTCTCTTCCTTAGCTTTTTCTCCTTCTTCACCATTGTTATAATGAAAACGCTTCCTCAAATTCATTTCATAGTGTTTCACATAAAGCTTTGATCTTTTGTCAGACTCATCATGAGCATGGAATTCATTTTCATTTTTCGATTTAATTTCACCAAAATTACCTTGATTTTCACTACTGATCGAGATCTGCCTCTGTTCGTGATCATTGTCTTCGTTTTCGTCATGGTGAGGTAATTGATCCTTCAATTTCATTTCCCCAAAATTCTCGCGATCGTATAGGAACTTCCAGATCTTCTTATCATTGTACCGATGGTGGCGGAAACTGAACGGATCCGACGGAATCTGACGCACACCAATACGGTTCAGAAACTTATCAAAGTCAATGTTTCTCTTAGAAGGCAGTATCATATCATTACCATAAGGAATCTGTCGCTGTGATCCCGGTTTCAGGTGGTGACATAGGCGGAACGGTAGTCTCGATCGGAGCCTGAATCTACGGTTGATCGGCCGGAATCTGACTAACGTAACAGGGACCGAATGGACGGAACGAGTGTTTTCGTGATCGGATTTGCTAGGGATGTTAACAGCAGGCGCAGAATCATCTGATTCCGGTAGAGTATGAGGAAGTTCAGGGATGGCAAGGTCATTTTCCGAAGGAAGTTTGAGGTGTGTGACGTCATTTTCCGGTTGAGTAAACGGAGTACGAGCAAGTGAAAGGTTGAAAAAGAGGAAAAGGACTGCAAAGAAGAGTTTCGCCATGGTGAAAAAGTTTGAAATTGTTGAAACGAGATGAATCGAATTCGGTATATATAGGATGGGGTGACGGGCAGTTCGGGCAGGTGGTGTAGAATAGAAAGAAAGGTTAATGGGGCAACGGGCAACTCGGTTACCACCACCACGTGGCTGGAAGTAAAATCACCCGCTAATATTTCTCTAGTCTTTTAACTGAATGTTACATACACCAAATATAATTACTCTTTTAATAAAAATCTTTATTAAAATGTATTTTATTCTTATTAAGAAATTCGATAAAGTCGAATTTAATCAGACTTCAACCCAAAAATATAGCAATATGTATCATATACCTTGAGCCTTCTTCCTCCTTTGTTGCACATTCCATCTAAATCCCATTTCATGTCAAAAATATCTTATTGGAATTGAGGCACTCATACGTTCTTTATCCATTTTTACTTCTCTACTATACTAAAAATTGATAATTTATCATTTAGTTTTTAATCAACTCTTATTATTAATTGTAGTTATTTTCAAACACATCGAAATATTATGTTAAAAAAAGTAATATAATAAAATTATTATTCTATTTATTACTTCTTTAAAGTATGTCAAGTTAATAATGGATAAATAAAAATTGATGGAGGGAGAATTTTATATGACACTTTTTTTGGTCTCAGGGGTCACTTGATTGTTATAAGGATGATAAACTTTACATAAAATAGATTGCTTTTTAGTTATTAGATTATAAAACAAACAGTGAATACATATTTGGATAAGGTTGTTATTAGATAGCAAGAGTGAAAAGTTACGATGGTGGTTGTTGGTGATAGGTAAATATTAGTTTCAAAGAAAATTTGTCGATTAGATATAGGGTAATGCTAGTATTACAGATAATGACTGTATACAGAAGTTTGACGGAATGTTTAAAATCTAGAGTGCTCAGACTTTTCAAAAATTACAAAGGGCACGTATCACATCCTCCAAAAGTAGTACTATATTTTTAGAGGATCCAATACAGGTATAACAACAATTTTTGAGAGTTCAAGCATCATAATTTAAAACCGCAAGTCCTTGGATTATATGTGTTGAAAGTCCTTTCTTTCTTTTTACTATAGTTCAATGTAACGTCGCTATATAAAATGAAACAGAGGAAGTATGAAATTATTTTTCTACGTAAAGTTACCTGATTTTTCATGGACGTCAGCAGAAAATTGCGGTTTTTCGAACAAGTAGGAGTCAACACTGAGAGTGAAGTTGAAGGTCCTCAGGATGATGGATATAGGTGGAGAAAGTATGGGCAGAAAGATATTCTTGGATCTACGTTTTCAAGGTAATAAGTAAATTTCACTCCCTGCATAAAAATCATAAATTCATAAAAAAAATACTTAAAAGGAAAATCAAACTTTTCAATCAATAAACTATGATTCAATCATAACTCAGTTGAAGTACATTATGCGAATCCTTTACATTCTGATGTATTCAGTTTTATTTAATTTCAATACTAAATATAAATCCACTAACTAAAATCATGCTATGTACTTCTCAGCTTTAAATTTTGCAAGTTCTTATCCTCTCTTTGTGGTTCAGCTGCTTTATATGTACATAATTAAGAAAACATCATAATACAACAAGAGCTATATGCATTGATGCCGAGTTTTACATATCTCTACAGAGGCTGCTACAAATGTACATTTCGTCGTTACTACAAATGTACATTTCGTCGCATTGAAAACTGCCAGGCAACAAAACACATGCAAAGGTTTGATGTTGGTCCTGCTGTATTTGAGATCACATACGGAGGCTACCATACTTGTCAGAGTCACCAAGTTACTAACTCTACACTACAAGCAACATCTTTTGTTTCTCCTAACAATCCCTGAATCAAACTACTTGTCAGTCTCTAGATGCCAGATAAATGGTCTTGGAATAGCTCACAACTTAGACCATTCAGAAAAATACCTCAGTGATATTGGACTATTTCGCGACTTGCACCATTCAGACTCAGACCGCACTGATTCATTCTCCACCAACAGTTCCACAACAAGTTCTTCAATTGGTGGTGAGTTCGCTAGATCGTCTGGAGCTAGACCTGATTTTTCAATTTTTACAAAAAGACATCCCCAAACCAAAGCTAATACTCCTCAAAAGGATGATAAGGATGAATAGTTTGGATCGTATCACCAAGTTATCCTATTGAGGTTGATGATCCCTTCTTGAAGAATTAGTGTAGACTTGATTGCAACATTAAGCAATATTTTTAGCTCGGTGCAGATTAACTAGTTATGATACTTGTATAATAGTCTACTAGTCTACTGTGTTTCAAGGGCTGAACTTCTGGTAATTTGACATCAAGTCCATGACATGTATTGTCCACTTTGTCCCAACAGACTTTAAGGATTCATTCTTTGGGCTACTTTATCATCTGTCATGTTTTGCTTCAACTTAAGGTCCACATCCACGATAATATAATCTTGACATCAAGGTATAAGAGCAATCGCATGGATAATTTACTAGCTTGGTTGTAAGCGAATCAGTACTTAGGGGAGAGCAAACAAAATGAGAAAGTGATTCTCTCACCTTCCTCAAAGCCTCCCACTTGAAATTAAGTGTGGCGCACAACTCATGGGTGATTTTCCTAGATCATTTGGAGCTAAATCCAATTTCCCATTTGATAATCCAAAGTTCTCTCATGAAGCCAAACTAATACTCTCAAAAAGGATAACTGTTCTGGGGGATTAAACTATCTGGTATCTAAACTCACTAGCTAGACTAATTAGGATTCGCAACATGTAGGCCCAGTAAGGAACATAAAGTTCTCCATTCCTAGAGCTCGAGCCCGTGATCATGAATCAAGGGTGGAGGGATCTTAACCATCCCATCACATCCTTTTAGGGGTTCCAAAAAGAGAATAAACACGGATAATTGGATGTTATCACTGAACTACTTTGGGGTCGATGATCCTTCCTACAGGAAGTCGTAACATGCTTGTAGATACCAGCTACAAAACAAGCCACAAGCTTTGATACTTCCAGCGATACTTGCGTGAGTTAGATTTTAGTGCCAGATTGGTTGTCTCTTTATTTATCGTGTGTGTTAATCAATTTTTCATTTCATTTTCAAAAATCTAACTAATGTTCAGACCTACACATATATATCGGATAATACTTATGAAAATACAGAACGTACATACAATGATGTAACTTATCCTGTGTTGGAGTCAGAAGAAAGCAACCCTAAACAGATTTTAGTTAAAGACCATTTTATCCGACTCTTGAAAGGGAATAATATTCTGAGAAGATGGAAAAGGAAGTATCCTCACTCTTCTTTTTCTTTTTTATGATAAAGATTTTCTTACTTCTTTTTCACTCTTCTTTATTCATTTATTTTGATAACCGAGAAGTCCCTGAGCACCAGCAGCACACAACTTGGAACTCGATCAATAATGAATCTGTCCTTCTACCTTTTCCACTTCAATACAAGATTTTGTCTGCAGGGTTCAAACCTAAAAAGGGCGCCTAATCGACACATCACAAGTGCACTCCTACCATTATCCAAGTCATGGGCCACAACTCAAAAATTCTGGGAAATATAAAAATCTCAAACCAAGAAACATTATGAATTCTTCCTCAAGATAAACCTGGATATAACTGAAACTAGAGAATAAGGAACTTACAGTTACAAGGCATAATCAAAGCAGCATTGGAATAGAATTTGACAATTAATACTCAGATCACTTAAGTTTAAGTACTTCCACTCCGAATTTCAATTGCAATTGTGTATACTATGGAAAAATCTCCATAATCAGAAGCAAAAGCTTCTCAAATCCACAACTTATGACTACTTTGAAAGTAATTCAATCAATCAAAAAAATATAGTGAAATGAGAAATCAAAGTGAAGCATGCAAATCGAAACAATAAAACTTAGACATTGCTAAAACTAGAGAATAAGGAACTTACAATTACAAGGCATAATCAAAGCAGCACCGGAAGAGAAGTTGACAACTAATACTCAAATCACTTAAGTTTAACTACTTCCATTCAGGATTTCAATTGTGATTGTACATACTACAGATAAATCTCCATAAACAGAAGCAAAAGCTTCTTAAATCCACAAATTATAACTACTTTGTAAGTTGAAACAAATTGAATCAAACAAAAAGATACAGTGAAATGTGAAAATCAAAACACAGAAAAACTAGATTTAGCTGAAACTAGAGAAGAAGGAACTTACAATTTCAAGGCATAATCAAAGCAGCAGTAGAAGCAAAGTTGAAGGAATTGGGGAAGTGACTGTAAAAAAGAGGGAAAGATTGGGAAGTTTGCCGCGCTAGGGAGAATGACCGAAAATCGAAATGATCCTTTTATGTATAAAATTTGAAATGAATTGAATTTATTTATTCAAAAATAAATGTTCTCTATTTTAATTTGGCAATGATTTCAAAAAATTTTAATCTTTGTGATTTAAAATTTATCATAAGAAAGTTAAAATTAAAATATTATTAAAAAATATATTTATATTTTAAATAGACCAATAAGACAAACAAATAAGAAAGAAATATTTTCAATGCATAAAGAGATCAAAAGTACACAATGTATGGTAGGTTCTTGAAGATTGAATAGTTGAGTTATATATCAAAAGCAACAACTATAATATACCTGGAACATAATATAATTTCAGAAATAAAGTTAAGAGATGATGATGTATATACATATTTTATTCATACATTATACATATAGAGAGGTATAATATTAAATTAAGGGAAATTTAGCTAACTAGTTAAAAAAACCAACTTATTTAGTTATAATATTCCTACTTTAAGAATATTAGTAAACATGTCAAAAATGTCATTATTTTAAAAATAAATAATTATTTTGATATTATTAATATTTTCTCTCTCATTATTTACACTCTTTTTCTCTCTCGTATAAATTACACATTTTCCTATATTTATGTAATTGGATAGATGTTAATGTCATTTTAATTTTTCTCTCTCTTTTCTTAAGCTTATCAATTTCTCTCTCTTACTTTCTTCCTAATCAAATCGCTAGATTTTTCTCTCTTTTCTTACTCTTCTTTTCAATTTCTCTCTCTAACATTCTTCCAAATTAATTTCATAGATTTTCGATTCAATATATTAATATTTTCTATTATTCTTATTTAATTTCGTTGCAAGATTTGATTTGAAGATTAACCTTGATTTGGGTATTACGTTTTTTAGATTTCTCATTTATTTACTTACTGATTTTAGTGTTTTTTTTTTAATTTTTTTGTTTTGTTGTTATTCTTAAAACATTTTTTATGGTTTGAGACTACATAATTCTCTTTTCAATGAAGTTACTAGAGTTATTGGACAAAATAATTAAAGTTCTTCCGATTTTCCATCATTTAATTTTTTTCACTCAAGAATTAAACAATAATGTAGGTTCCGCTTCTAATTCTAAGCAGGATATACGATGGGGAAAAATGCATGAATCCGTCGATGTGCAAAATCTCACACAAATTCATAACCATGAAGTTGAAGAAGACCAATTTGTGGGATAATAGGTTTTTTTTGGCA